GTGTGTGTGTGTGTGTGTGTGTGTGTGTGTGTGTGTGTGTGTGTGCGCGCGCGTGTCAGTGTTTTTTTTAATTTTTTAATTTTTTTAAACCAGTTGGTGACATACTTGGATGTGTTTTATGTCCTCTGAAAATCATGTCAGAAGGATTCCCACCTTTTTGCCAAAAGGCTGTGACGATGCCGGCTCGTGTATGTTGCTCTCCGTGTTCTTTGTTGTGTTAATTTGAGCCAAAGACAGATAATGTATGGTTTTGTATGTACAAAGGAGATCAAAACTCACCACCAAACCAGCACCCTTCTCCTCCTCACACTCTGCTCTTCTTTTTAAAGTTGCTACTGTAGACTGTTTTACTCCTACTACCAGAATTGATGAGCTGCTCCTTACTGGTATACTTGTAAGATACTGGAGTGAAGACAAAACACTACAAATCATTGAGAACTTTACCACACCGTCTGCTGAGATGTGTGCTTTAGCAGTGTGTTGTGGGACTACGAGCCTTTTCAACATTGCAGCATTCTGTATAATTATGCCCCATTTGGTTGACCATAATCGGCTTCATCTCAGTTTTTGGCGATGTGATCTCTTACATCATGCGTGAGTGTCAGTTTGGTGAAGAGTGACTGGTCAATGTTGAAATACTTAACTTATTTATGAACGTAGTGTCCTGTAGAGGAAGTTAAGCTCCATATTCTTGCTGTTGGATAATAATAAAAGAAAATGTCAAATGTGATTGTACTGCCACTTAGTGGTGCTCTGTTGCTATGTCGGTGTGTTACTCAAGGTGCTAAAAAAAATGGAGGAAAAAAAAACTGTGCAAGTGTTTTATTTAAAAAAACAAAGTCAAACCAAAGCTTACTTCATGTTTACTAATGCCACATTAACAGTAATATAAAATACAACATAATAAAAAATGTAAAATTATGTTTATTTATAACTTGAGGCAAATTTCCTCCACTATTTTCTTTAGAAAGGGAATTCAGGATTAAAGATGATTACAAACACACACAGATCTTCTCACACACACACACGCACACACACAGCATGTGCACTAACCCATCTGTCTGAGGTTTATGTTTCGATCAGATACCAGGCTTGGCCTCACAGACAATCGGTTTTCAACTGCCACAGTCGGCAACACCTGGGATGTCAATGAGAAAAGGGCGCGACAAAAGATTTGAAGCATGTGAGAACTGCTACTCCTGTGATCCTGACAGTGGATCATTTCCCATTTAGTCCTTGAGATTCCAATCCAAAAAAAACATAATCATAACTCCAACCGTATGGGAGGACTATGCTCTTCTTTCAATGTGGAAATCCTTGCTGTGCAGACCAAAGACAAGAAAGAGTTCCCCGCTTTCAGAAGCTCTCGATTTCCAACCATCTGAAATGTCATGTACATTGTTCAGATCAATTACATATTCTAAACACATTTGCACACTGTAAGACAACACAGTGAAGGTGAGTAAAGATCTGGTTATTTTCTCACTGATGGCGCTTTTGTCCAAATAAGGCACACAGACTCATATGCTTACCACTTAATGACAGCGTAAGTGGTCATCAAAGTGTTGAAGACGAGGACCTTCATGAGAAGCAGCCTCATAACCAGGACAACCACTGTGTTTGTCCACACCTGGACAAACACACCTGGAGATCAAACCGCACAAACCCCACCAACATCAGGAACGACATCTTTATGAATCAGGATTTTCTAAATTGTTTGCAAACAGTGAAAATGTACCTTCTGTCTTTTCATATTCATAGCAGATCTTGTCTTCATGGTCTGAAATTATAAAAATTGTACAATAAAAAGTTTATTTGGGAGGAGAGATGTCAGGAAATAAATTCACGATCAGCTGTAGTTCTACCTGACGAGGTGGTGTGGTGTCTCCTGGTGACTTTTGGGCGTTTCCTGCGAGTCACAGAGCAACTGTAGGACGGCCAGTTCCCGGTCGCCACCGTGATGACCGCCACAGCGCTGTTGCCGCGATGCTTCCTGTCCAAAGCGATGCTGTGTGGCGAGCTGGACATGTGGCCTTCTGATGGTGACCTCCAGCTTACCTCGAGGTGCCCTCTCCGGAAGTCACTCACCATACAGACCAGCAGGGTCCAGCCCAGTCTCTCCCCCGACAGGTGCACAGGTGGGGCCAAAGATGCCAGCACATCACCCTCTACCCCTCCTAAAAGATGATGGAGGACAACATGAGAGGATATTTAGGTGCAGACTTGGCCTGTAGCTAATTAACAGAAGGTTTCAAAACAATAATGCAATGACTCACATAAAATGTATAAAGTCGTTGTCTGTTAGCTTATGAGAAAAATGGACATCAAAATAACACTATGTTACTGGTGTGTAACAGTTTATAAAGAAAATCTTCATGCATTAACATTATTGCCAATAACATCTACAGATATGATAATCGCTCAGTCCTTATTGTGATTAAGTCTCAATACTAAATTGAGTCCTATACTAATCTTGGCTGCCACCATCGATGATATAAAAACCTAAAGATAGAGGCTGTTTAATGTTTCAAAGCTCTTTGAGGAAATGTGTGATGTTGAGCTGTATAAATAATACTGACTTGACTTCCAACTGCCTGTGATTAAACTCAAACACAGTGGTCATGCTTTCAAAAAAATTAAAGTTCTCTGAGAAGTCGATATTTTGGATATTTATGATTTTCACCAAACAGTGATATTAATATTCACCATAATCATGGATTATAAATGGAAAGCTCTTACCTGTCCATAAATAGATGATAGGAAGGTAAAATAGACCCCTGTGTGGTTCAGCCATGTCTGTTAGTTATAGTAGCTCCACTGTCTGTCTGTGCACTTTGTGAGTGTGTGAAATGAGGGCATGCCGTTTGGCTTTGCCAGGAGCATTGCATTATGGGGGAGTGACATGTCACATTGTTGTGACCTTAAATACTAACAACGACCCCCCCCCCCACACACACACACACACACACGCACACACTGGGAGAGAAAGAGAGGGAGTCATTGTGAGCTCTTACACAGTGTGGGCTTTATCTGCATTCATAAAGAGGACAGTTAATCTGAGAACAGGACAGTGATGCGAACAGTAAAGACAGTTTAGAACAATTAGAGACACACCTGCTTATGGCTGTTAGCTCCCTGAGGTAAGAAAACCGATCATATCAACGCACCCAGAACATTAGATAACACTCCTGTGGGGTACACTTGCACACACGCACACACGCGCGCACACACACGCACAGGGTAATTTGTCAGCAGTGGGCAGGAGCTCAGCCTTTAAGAGAAAGTGAAACTCAACAACAGGAACACGAGGAAATGACAAAGCTAATATGAACGAGGTAAAACGTTTTGGCAATTGCTCGTTTATTTGAGTTAAAACACGATTTCTAAAAAAGGTGAGCATTATGTTAATTGTAACTTCATAACAATCTTCCACAATAAGTTTCTGCTATTTCATTTCTGTGGTCATAACGATGTCATAACGATACACAGCACGACTCCTGCCCGTGCAGCCTGCTTTGAACTGTCGTTAATGCTGCTGCAGCTGTTGTCACCTCACAGTTATAGCTGTGTCCTCACCTTGTTTTGTCCGCATGGAAAAGCATGGGCTTCGTTTGTCACATGTTTGAGTCTCCTTCAGGCCGAGTTGTGTTGTGTTTAGGCCCTAAAACCTACTCACAGCTCGGTGTGCCCGAATTAACCGACTGCTCGACAGAATTCATGTGTCATGCTTGCGAGGTCCAAAACGGTCCCCTTGTGGAACATTAACACCTTTAACTAGTGGGTAGAAACAGGGTTGCTACATTGCAAGCTATATGAGAAATGTGTGGCAGGTTAATTATTGAGGGTATGTATGAATATATGAATGCATAACATATTAATAGTGGTTGTAAAGGTTTGTCCAAGTTTTACAGCAAAGATAGTAACCTTTGACACCATAACAACAACCGTAAATCTGGCTGGAGGAGGCAGTAAGACATTAGTGTCGAGATGCAGTAAATGTTAACATTTTTGATTGGACTCGAGAATAAACAGGAACTACAGTGGTATAAAAGTTCCATTGAGAGACGTATGTGGTGTGTTCTTAATCCTGCTCTAATGTCTTTCAGGTTTAAGAGACGTCATTGATTGATCCATATTCTGACAGTGTGACATCTGGACAAATCATCCCGGCTAGGAATTCAACACTCGCATCAGGTGCTCCTTCATCACTCCTCATGTGTGGGATGTGATCAGGTTCATATAACTGTCAGCCTGTCACACGGTTGGCTTATTTATTTATTTTTAAATCAGTGGTTAAAGGACATTTCCTCCACAATGGTCTTGGTGAGGCTTTTAGTGCTGTCTCTATTTCACATGTCTCTGGGTGGGTCGCAGCCCACCCAGAGTTCACAACAGGCGTCCAGCCCTCTTCACCCCGCAGGACAGCAATCTCCTTTGGGTACTAGTAATCTGTCCTTCCCTTGGAGCCGTCTTCGCCTGCCAAGGTACGCTTGCTTCCTAATGGCCGCATCCAAGAAATTTACAAGAAAATTGCCGGAGCTCTATCTTTTTATTCATCGATTATAATTCAATTGTTTCTTTGTCTCAGGTACATCATTCCTCTTCACTACCACCTCCTCCTGCACCCCAACCTCACAACTCTCAGTTTCACTGGCTCAGTGCAGATCCAGATTGATGTCCAGAACAACACAAACTGGGTTGTATTGCACAGCAAGGGTCTGCAGATCTCCAAGGCCGCCATAGTGGACCAGAACTTCGCTCACTTGTCTGATCAGGTAGTTGTAAATGCAGCGCAGTTATCATTAGACCTTATTTGTCATTGTTACCTACAATGGACCCAACCCCTCTCCATCTCCTCTTGTTCTAGGTTCTTCCAGTTCTTCATAACCCTTCCCATGAGCAGATTGGCATTTTCTCTCCCAGGGTGCTCAGCAGCGGGCAAAAGTACTTTCTGTATCTTGAGTTTGGGGCAGAATTGTCAGAAGGCTTCTATGGCTTCTATAAGAGCACCTACAGAACCAGCACAGGAGAGACCAGGTAAGACCAGATTGTAATAGATCTTACACATACAGAGAGGTTCCAACTTTAGTTCCAGAGTCCATTGTCTTTACGCCTCTTTGTGTCTTTTCAGAACATTAGCTTCAACTCACTTTGAGCCCACGAGTGCTCGGATGGCATTCCCTTGTTTCGATGAGCCGAGCTTCAAAGCTAACTTCTCCGTTCGGATCAGGAGGAGTCCAGAGTACATTTCTCTGTCCAACATGCCTGTAGTGAGTGCTGCATAGATGCTAGCCTTCACACATGTTCAAATGTGTGAGCGACATGGCTACAGTGATCTGTTTGTGTATTTCAGGTCGAGACGTTTGAAGTAAACGCTGGCGTGCTTGAGGACCAGTTTGATGCGAGTGTAAAGATGAGCACTTACCTCGTAGCTTTTGTCATCTGTGACTTCAAATATGTCACTGCAACGACATCTTCTGGGGTGCAGGTGTGGTCTCACTGACAATATTTGAATTTCCTTCTTTCTTGCCAACAGCATTTCTTTCTCATGGACACTTTTTTTTTATGAACTTTTGTGTCTGTAGGTGTCCATCTATGCCTCCCCTGAGAAGTGGCCACAAACCCGCTACGCCCTGGAGGTTGCTGTCAAAATGCTAGACTTCTACGAGGAATATTTCAACATCCACTATCCTCTACCCAAACAAGGTACCCTTTGTTTAGTTTTCCTGTTACTACTTTGTCAGATCCCCCTCTTTCCCCCTTTCACGTTCTCTCCACTGACCTGTGTTTTCCCGCTCTCAGATCTGATAGCCATCCCAGACTTCCAGTCTGGTGCGATGGAGAACTGGGGTCTGACCACCTACAGGGAGACCAGCCTGCTCTTTGATCCCCTCACGTCCTCCATTTCGGATAAACTCTGGGTCACCATGGTGATCGGACATGAGCTCGCCCATCAGGTGAGAGCGTGACACTGTGTCTGCACCCTACTGACATACTGTTCGGCTTTAGATGCTCATAATCTTAATGGTCTTGACTGCAGTGGTTTGGTAACTTGGTGACCATGGAGTGGTGGAACGATATCTGGCTGAATGAAGGATTTGCCAGATACATGGAGTACATCTCAGTGGAGGCCACCTACCCTGACCTCAAAGTGGTATGTGCTTGGTTTAATGTGAGAATCGACTTAAATGATTAATTGCGGTAGATTAATACTAAGTGTAGTAAACCACAACCCTGTTCTGTGCACAATCTTGCAGGAGGAATATCTTCTGCACACCTGTTTTTCAGCAGTTGGTCATGATTCGTTGAACTCTTCTCGGCCAATATCCAGCCCAGCAGAGAACCCGACTCAGATCAAGCAGATGTTTGACACAGTCTCCTATGATAAAGTATGCTTTCAGTCTCATACATGTGTTGTGCCTGCAGTCACAAAGAGGGTCGCTCAACTATTCATTATGCGTATCCTATTTGTGGAAATACAGGTCTACAAAACCAGGGATAACAAAACAAACATAGTACATTTAAAACCCCGCTGATATTTATGTTACTCACTTCTGATTGACCTGGTTGGAAGTAGTTGAAACAACTTCCATTAAGCTTTTGACCGCATAACAATTGATCTCTATTTTAATATTGTAATGGAAAATCTCATCTTTTTTTCACATTTATGACTCACAACATTCAAATTGCTTTGAAGCCAACCTACAGCATAACCTGGGCTTTGATTAAATACAGCTTTTCTCTCTCTCCCACCAGGGAGCATGTGTCCTCCACATGCTGCGACACTTTCTGACAGACGATGTGTTCCAGCGGGGGATAGTACGATACCTCCGCAAATACAGCTACAGAAATGCACACAACCAGGATCTGTGGGACAGCCTCGCCAATGTACTAACACAAATTACATTAATTGTCCAATTCACGATTGTTAATCAATCAGTCAGTTCATAAATATTTGATTGTGTTTAGTTCATATATTAGAAGTTCGGTATATTTAACATGTCTGCTAAACATTTTATAATGGATGCTGTAGTGTTTCGGTTATTTTTATTTACCCTGCTTCCAGACAGACATTCTTCCCATTCATTTCTTTATGGAGCATAAATCAGTTTGCTGAGACTAGAAAGTTACATAAAGTAGGTAATTGATCAAAATTAACATAATGTCTGTTTTTATTGCCATCAATATTGTGTAATATTTGCCCAATAATGCAATTGTGAGTGATTCTAAAAGAATAAACCTCCGTGCCATGCATCGATAACAAAACATTTGACAAAAATTGAAAGCAGACATGGTGTCCACTGTGGTGCATTACCAATCTCAAGCAAGTTAAAAGTCTCCCAAAGTGAATTGTACTGTATTATACAGAAGGGAATTGAAGTGAGTTTTAGTACTGCCTTGATAGATCACATTTAAATTGTAAAGCATTGTAATGTACTATGGAAAGCGGTAAGGTAAATGCGATTTGCAAAAATCTTTTGTTTTTTTCCAGACATGCTCCGAGGAGGACTTCATGTCAGGAAAACACTGTTACAGCAGCAGCCAGGCCTCCAAGAATGCAGTGAGTAAACATATAAACATCCACTCAAGGACATCTCTTCATTGGTGTCCTCTTATACATTTTACACAGTGTAAACAATTATTTTCTGGCCTTGTGACGTGTTGTGGCTGCATGTATTGTCTCCCACAGTACCTTTTTGCAGGAGAGCACATGGACCTGACAGCCATGATGAACACTTGGACTCTGCAGAAAGGTATTCCTCTGGTAACTGTAACTAGGAAAGGGCCCCATCTGCTGCTGAGACAGGACCGGTTCCTGAGGACAGTGCTGCCTTCTGACCGTCTCTGGTCAACTTTGCAACAGGGGTGAGCATGCACATGCACTTGTACAGTTTTGTTTACTACTTAGTTTACTCTTGTAGCAAAACTGCACGTTGCTCCTCTACTCTGTGTTTTTGTTTTTGCAGCTACACGCCCATTATTACCTTTAGTCTAAAGTAACTCTCAGGTTTGAAAGAGTATTTAAATAATACTCTTGTTTTTCATGTATAGTTTCCTTTGGCACATCCCCCTGACATACAAGACAGATGCTTCCAGCACCATCCACAGACACCTGATGACAACACCCACAGGTAACAGGGAAGAGAGAATATTTTAAATATGTTTAATGCACATTTCATGCTTTTTCATTGCGTTGTTTTTGCTATTTATGTCTCATTTAGACAGTATTCATATAGGAGAGGAGGTCAGCTGGGTGAAAGTAAACACTGACATGACAGGCTATTATGTGGTTCATTATGAGGATGGTGGTTGGGACGAGATGACAAAACTACTGAGGGAAAACCACACTGCTCTCAGCTACAAAGACAGGACTCACTTGATACACAACGCCTTTCAATTGGTCACGTAAGCCTCTATGTGTGTGTGTTTGTGTGAGACAACAAAACAGACAGTGACATAAACAATACAGCTTTAATCATCCCACCTGAAACAACACCTATAAATATTCTTGTTTGTCTCTAAAGGGCAGGTCAACTGTCGCTCGATAAAGGCTTAGACCTGATTGGTTACCTGCAATTGGAGACGCACACTGTGCCTCTCCTTGAAGGAATAGGCTATCTGGAGGCCTTTTACCGGATGACCGAGAAAAGGAATGAGTTTGATGTAATAAGCAACCTGGGGGTAAGAAGATGAGGGTACAAATTAAGTATGATGTTTCTGAAAATGTCGGTACGCAGTGCAGTTTAATTTCCTGTGAAGTTTAATTTGCTGTTTCTCCGCGTGCAGATGTACATCCTGCGATTTTTCCGTGCGGTCATTGACCGGCAGACGTGGAGCGACAGGGGCTCTGTGTCCGAGCGACGGCTGAGATCAGAGGTCCTGTCACTGGCTTGCCACCTGAAGGACCCTCCCTGTCTGGAGCGGGCACGTGAGAGCTTCAAAGACTGGCTTCAGTCCAACGGTACACTCAAGTATGTCTGTCTAAATTATAATTCAGCACGCATCATTATCAGTCAACAACCTCTGATATCATTCACATACACAGCAGCTATTCCCTGTGCTAGCCCAGACCGTATAATTTGATGTTTCATCATATCTCTAATGTGCATCTCTGCTTGTGTTTACCCCAGCTTGCCAACTGACGTGGCAGACACGGTGTTTTCAGTTGGAGCTCAGGATGACCACGGCTGGGTTTCACTCTTACACACATACAACATGTCTCTCTCTGAGGCACAAAAAAGCAAAATCCTGTTTGCCTTGACCTGCAGCAGAGACACAAACAAACTGCACAGGTACATCTTCTCCCCAATATATTTTAACACGGTAAATGCTGCCCCCGTGTGGCAAACATGGGGTGCCACAGCCAACAGATATCCAATATTTATCCAGTGTCTCGTTACAGATATGCTAGACATCTTTCAGTGGGGGCTCCTCAAGTGATGGCAGATAATGGGGCGTTACTAGAGCAGGTTATATTGTGTGTTATTGTGTTCCAGTCTGCTGGAGTTGGGTCTTGAGGGGAAGGTGATTCGATCCCAGGACCTGTCCTCTGTCATCCTGATGGTGGCCAGGAACCCACAGGGATATCGCCTCACCTGGAACTTTGTCAAAAAGAACTGGGACACGCTGGTTCAAAAGTTAGTGCAACATAATGGAGACCATCATGAACGACAATATCAGTCAAAACATGTGATGCTATGAAAATGCACTTTTGCTTACCTTTTTAAAACATATTAATGTCTTACCCAGTATATATACTTAAAAGTGTGTTTTACTCATCAAGCTGGTGTTTTTAGTTGGAAGCAAAAACTTTGTGTAAACCAGTAAGACCTGCCGTTTTAGTGGCTTCAATAACAAATGGAACAGGTTTTGGAATTTATAAGGACCTTATTATACTGCAAGCAACACATTGGGTAGCTATAATAAAAAAATCCCTGAATAACAATGTGTGCATATGGAGGAAGAGATATTAACCTGTGAGTGTCCTCTCTGTTGTCTTTCTGCTCCGCAGGTTCCAGCTGGGCTCGTTTTGTATTAGAAACATCCTCATAGGCACCACAGGCCAGTTTTCATCTCCAGAGGAGCTCACTGAAGTAAATGCCCTCTTATATCTTGGATTCATCTATATTCTACAAGGCAATTTAGAGATTACCAATATTTCAACATTGATATGATCATTATTGGTATTAGTTGGCATTGGCAATATCAGTGATATTAGTGATAATGATGGTAATAACAGAGGCACTCTCAAAAATGATTTCCAATTGTAAAATAGTGTGATTCTGACCTAAAGAGAAATATCTATAAAAGCTTCAGCATGAATACATGTGTGCTAAATTTCTTGCAAGCATAACTGAGAGAGGAATTTAACTTTTTTTGGGTCTAAATCTGAGTTGTGTGCTTGTTTGTGTTTTTGTAAATGTAGGCTATGTGTTTGATCCCCAGGTGCAGCATTTCTTTGAGTCCATCAAAGAGCAGGCGTCTCAGCTGAGAGCTGCTCAGTTGGCCCTGGACAACGTGCAGAAAAATGTTCGCTGGTTTCAGAGGAACCTCGAGACTCTGAGAAACTGGTTGAACAAACAATTGCAGTGAAAGACAGCAGAAAGACAGGTGGCGGTTAACAGACGCCACAGCTGGGATATTTCAAAGTTTCTTTGAATTTTGTACGTGTTTTTATTGGCTTATTGTAATATGTTTGATATCACCGAAGAGCTGACAGTTTTGTATATAATTACTGTTTTGTAAATTAGCAGGGGATTTGTTTGTTAGACCCAGACTGAGAGAGAGATTACATGCTCGGTAGTCTTTACCAGATAGACAATAAAAGTGTTGTACCTCCTGCCACCTTTGTGTGTGTTGCTGAAACATATCATTGTGCTGAATACAACCAGTGTGTGTTTGTTTGTGTATCTACTTGGTATTCATCATATTAACTATTTATTTAGGGGCTAAGACTTGGGGTTAGGGTAAGAGCTATGAATAGGCTACGGTTGAGGTTAGACATGTGGTTAACATTTAGGGTTGGGCTCCAGGGAACGAAACAATAAAATATCCACACAAGTATAGTAAAAAAAAGTTTGTTTTTGTTGTTTAAACCATTTATTTGACAGTTCAGACTATGTTTTATGGTTAGATTAACTGTAAATAGGTAGAGTTTAGCTTTCTTTGGGCCAGGTTGAGGTTAAGCATGTTACGGTTAGGATTAAAACCACCATGTCATGAATGGTAAGAAATACAATGTTCTCACAAGTATAGTAAAATATTTACGTGTGTGTGTTGGCGTGCATCTGTGCATGTCTTATGTTCTAGCCCCGCCCTACGGTAGTAACATCCAATAGGATGTCAGCATTGAAATTCGATGAGAGGTTGTCAACAACCGGTCGGGGAGGAAGCAAAGTGTCATTTGTCCGTTCGTTAGTTTACCAACGGGCATGTCAGGGTGAGATTTGTGTACATATTATTAGCGTACGATTTTTGGATAACTCCGCATTCACGTGGTAGTCTATTAAACAGCTATGGGCGATAAAGTTATAGATATCAGCTAACGTTAGCTAACTGAATGTTCTTCAGTCACTTACAAATGTCAAAAGTTGGCTAGTTCCAAGCTAACGTTAGAGCAGTGAGGACAGGCTGCTAGTTATTGTGAGCGTTTGTTAGCCTGCCCCGGTGGATTGTGGACCAGCTAGAAAAACGCACGTCTGTGGAGCTGCTGTGAAGGTTTCCCCTTGTTTTGGACGCGAGGAGCTGTTTGAGATATCCTACCATGGATCCATTTGACAGCAACAATGCAGGTAAGGAAGAAAGATGGTAGGTACAGTACTATCGGTAGGCTAGTAGCTTCAGGCCAGCTAATAACTTATGGAGGCATTAGCAGTGACATTCACCGAGGGCACATGTTGACAGCGATAGGTTTGACTTTTGGAAAGACAAACCGGTTTGTGACTGTAACGTTAGGTACAACGTAGGGTGTGTGTGAACCATGCTGTTTACTCATGTGACGTTTTGCTATAATTTTAACAGAACGACGCCAATAACACATTTGTAACAGTTTAAACAATGGCTGCCTTGACAGAAACATAGCATGGCACTGTTGAGACTCAAGTTGTCTGTGAAAACACAGCAGCATTGTTTGTCCAGTTGAAGCCTGTTGGTTTGATAAGAGCTATGTTTTGTGTTGGTGTGGAGAGCTGATAAGTCATGCTCAGCTCCGCTCAGGCAAGCAGCTGCTTTATAACCTCTATTATGGTGCTAGGGTGTCCATGACTTCATTAAAACAAACAATAAAACCAAGCGCACACAGTAGTTTCTCCTCGGCGGGTGTTATTTTATTCAACCTGGAACAGGCAATCACCAAATCACAGCAGGAACTTCCTGTTTTTTTTCTTCCTGTTTGTTCTGACTTAGTGATCTTTAAGTAAAAGCCCAAAGTCACATTTCACAACCACATTCTGGCCAGACAATGGTGAGAAAACAGAAACAGATGCTTCCTTCCCCTAATTTGAATCACCAACCAACCAGTATCAGTGTCAGTATCGCGGCTCAGTACTCTGCATCTTTTAGTGTGTTGTCTGTTCTTACCTGGGCTGAATTAGTGGACACACATTTAGCTATATTTCTGTGACTCTAAGGTAGAGTTAATAAATGTTTTGAGTTAACAGGAAGAGCGCAGTCAGCAAATGAACATGGCCTGCTGCTGCATTTACACAGCTTTAACCAGCTTGATGAAAGCACAGGAGTTGTTGGTTGCTCACATTTGCGTGGTGTGTTTTCTAATTGTAGTGCAGATGATAACCATCACATCCTTTTGCCCCCTCTCACCCGAGCTCGTCATCTTGCTTGTATGGCATAATTTTCAGCATAATATCACGTCAATTAGAAGTAGACATGACAACCGGGATTAATCCAGTTTGATGTGTTTTGTATGGATCAAATTTTTATCATATCCTCATAATCACATTACACATTACCCACTACTTAGCTCTCAGCCTATTAATAGACAATCATACCACAGGGATGTGGTTCAGGCAGGGACATGGCGACAGCACACCAGAAACACTTTACAGGACATACAAGGAACTAAATTCACCTCATGTATTTCTGGACTTTCGTCTTTCTTGTGGGGAGCTGAAGCTCAACTTATTTTGGTGTCGTTGTTTCTGTATGCACACTGTGTATATTCATAATAGTTCACTTGCTCTCTGCTTTCCACACCAATCCATCACCAACTGAGAGTGACAATGCTTTGTCTTAAGTTTGTAAAAAGCATGATTGTAACGTGAGGCAAATCGGGAGACTTGCATTGCTTCGAGTTTTACTACTTTCGGTATTATTAAATTAGGAGGATGAACATACCTCTGATTGTTTCAAGGATTACTGAGAACTATTGTTTGGAGAATCTGGCTGCCAGAAAATCACGTGGGTTTTGTAAGACACGGCGTAACTCTTGTCATGAATCTTGATTCTGAAGACGCAGGTTACGGAAATGCAGGCTTTTGTAAACTGCAGTGACAGGGCCATATGATGAATATTCACTGTATTAGCTTTTTTTAATGTCCTTGTTTTTATTTTGTATATTTTTCTTGTTTATTTGTATATTCTATGTATGTACGTACATTGAGAGCAATGTAATCGTACACATACATGGCCAATAAAGCTGATTGTGATTCAGATTGTTCCTGTACCTGAGGGCTCTTCGTCAGTTTTTATTTTTTATTTGTAGGTTTTTTTTCTCCACATGAATGAATGAACTGTGAAGGAATTACAGCTATTTCAACACTTAGTATATGTCTTACAGCCCTATGAACCCATTCGTTCTAGGTCAAAGTACCAGGAAATGCTGCAGGACGTTTACTAACAGGAAACTGAAGAAACTCAGTCAGTGCTTTGTTAAACAAGGCTTCATGTTGCCTGCACACAAAAAAATGGCTTGTTTCCACAACTCTTCTGTGGAAAACTTTGAAATTCCAAAAGTCACAGCACATATGTTAACATACAGTGCAATACTGTGTGTGTGTGTGTGTGTGTGTGTGTGTGTGTGTGTGTGTGTGTGTGT